CTGGAAGAGTTGTGGGAAATGATGTAAATGTTAGCAGCGTCGCAATGCAAGAGGGCAGGGGTGTAGTGTGGAAGGGAAGAGGAAACATTTCAGCAGCTAGAGAAAACATTTATTCCTGTTTCTTTTCCCTCCCAGATTGTCCATCTTCAAGAAGCTACTTTGAAAGTTAGGCCAGTGCGCGTTCAGGCCTACGGTCAGGAGTGTGGGGAAGTCGAGAGAAGTCAGCCCCTGCCCGAGGATCTGCAGGAAATAGTGGGAGTTCCCCAGAAGCCTTTCTTTGGTCTTAATTCCCATCATCATGTCTAAATTAACATAAATCATATACATGTCAATTTACTGAAATTTCACAGAATAAAATAATGTTGCTATCTCGGTGTTTTAATATAATAACAGACTGCTGCAATATCTCTGCCATCCTGTGTGAGCCCGTTTGCCCGGCATACCCTGGGGCTAAAGAAGCAAGTTGCAATGTGTACTTTATGGCCGTTTTGTGTAAAGGGGGAAATGGTGTGTGCATGCGCGTTTCTGGGAGGACACACACCAGGAGAAGCAGGGTGTGCTATCATATACCTTTCCATGTTCCTTTTTTTAACCCTGGGAAGATACTGCCCGTATAGGTTTTTGTCCTGAATGTCCATGGCATTCCCATTTCTTTCTCAGCTTTAGCACCATTTATTCATAGAGTCCTCAAGAAGTCTGGTCATACAGCTCTAACTGTAGGTTAGCCCTTTTTGCTCTATTGATTGGTTCAGCAAATACTTATGGAGATTTTACCATGTGCCCGGGCACTACTGCTCCCCACAGAATATTCTTTTGCTCAAATGTTTTCCCTTTTATTTTTTATCTTCTATCTCTTCTTCCTCACCCTCTTTCTTCCCCCTCCCCCCCTTGTCTTCCTGCGTTGGATCCTTCCAGAAGATGTTGCATCTTCACTGGCATTGGCAGAGCAGTATTTTTCCTGGAGTCCTTGGTTTTATTATTAATACCTAGGTTCACATCAGTGCTGTAATACAATGTTTTACAGTCCAAATAAGTAACGGTGGCACTTTGGGGACCCCATATGTTGTATACTGCCTGGCACATGGCACACACTCGGTGGTGTCAGTTCCTGTTCCAAAGCATCATTCAGGCCCTTTCTGCACAGGGTTCACTGTTTCTGAGGGTTTCTTTAACGTCCTATAAAACCTCATCTGGGATGGGACTTGCTGGGAATGCAGTTTGTAAGCAAGGGAAGAAAGCAGTCTATTGTCAGACATGGTGACTTAAAGGTCATCTTAAAGGTTTTAGGCTCCCTCGTATCACCAAAAGCCACGTGGGTTTAAACACTTAATATTGATAGGAATAATAAACATGGTGGGGGAGGAGGTTTGTAAGCCAAAGACTATAAACAAAGCCCTAATACAATAAATAATGCAAATGTTTTTACCAGGCTGCACTCGGAGTGAATGGACCATCACCAATGCAAGAAATTCCTAAGTAGAAGTACAGTATGCCTTCGCTAAAAATTCAAATGTTACCAGTTGCTTTTTTCACTTGGTGATATATCTTAGAGATCTTACTACATCAGCAGTTTGAAATTGCATTGCTGCTGGCTGCTGATGAACTTGTGAAGGTCATGTAACTCCAACGCCTCTGCTCTTTACCATCACTCTGCCTTTCGGGGGCTCTTCCTGCCAGGTGGCACAGAAATGGGCATCCCGTTTGTGATAGATGTGAAGCTGTGCCCATTTCACATCCCTTCAGAAGGGAGGGATGGTAAAAGGTGGAAGGAGAGGGAAGAAATAAAGAAGTTAAGCAATTATTGATGGCATGAGTTTTGTGGAATTGATTATTTAATCTGTGGTAACGAAGAGGTGTGATGAAGAGGAGGCATAAAGAACAAAAGATAACTGCTGGCTAATTGAAGACCTGGATTCAAAACCTACAGGGGAATTAGTGCTTGGGGTACATATGAATGTGTTGCCAGAGAAGGGCCAGTGCCTTTACCTTGAGACTGAGAGTCTTTGCAGATCATTGGCCTCCCTGTCGCCATTCCTACCCTTCTCTGGGCTGCTAATGCCTTCCCTCCCCCTATTCATAATATCACCGACAAACAGATTGCAGCCTCTCTGATCTGCACCTCAGAGGCTGTTGCGATGCACTGAAGATGTATATACTCTTAATTCAAAAGAGACGGTATTTATGTGCTGCCAAGTGAAGCAGATTACAGCAGAATTACTGTTGAGTTTGTGTTGGCTGGTGCAGCCCTAATTGTGCCCAGGAACACATCCAACCGCTGGAGCACTGGAGCCATGGGTTCATTTAATATGTTCCAGAGAAGAAGGGGTGGAGGCCTATTCCCAGATCTCTAAAATGTAAGAATTGTTACCAAAGAGTTATGAACCATTTTTGGTAGCTTCAGGCCCAGGCTGTGGGTAGATAGGAACCAGGATGGGAGAAATGGTATGATCAGTAGAGATCAGATAAATATGTAAGCTATTTTATTGGCCTACTGTATCTGGTGATGTTAACAAGATAAGCTGTAGGTAGGATAATTTCTCATCAGATTGGAGAGAGATATTTATAGCCCATTTCTCATTATATAATGAAACGCTACTAATGGAATAACAGAGGATGATAAGGATAATAGCTTCCTAACTGTCACTTAAGTGAGTTCAGGGATGACAGATTTCTTTCACGCATGAGATACTGGATACGGTTTTTAAAACTAAAATACAGCATTGGGTTCTTGTCATATAGTAAAGGAAAACCACAGTCACAATGCAGTATTTTATTTATCATCCTATATCCATCAGTGTGTGTGTGTTATATAGAGGTTGGGGATGAGTTATTTGTAATATACCGTAAAGAAAGCTGCCCTCCAAATACAAAATCAGTTAACCTCTCACTTGAAACCAGCCCTTAGTTCCCTGTCACTAGTCTTTCTTACTTTTAAGAAAAGCAAGTGGAAAAGCCCGACACGTCATTAAGATGGCCTTTATTGTTTTAACCTGTCCCTTGTTTCATTTTCAACTATTTCCTAATAAGACAGCTGTGCTACCCTGTCTTCAACTAAATAAGCTCGTCTTATTTTTGCCTGAAACTGTTGCAAACTCCCAGATGTACTAGATTTGAGAAACCCTGGATCTCAGTAGGTAATAGCCTCTCAGTTGGTTGAGTGGTATGGATTTCTTTGGGCTTGTTTAAAGTTCAAAACTATCAGCAGGGTTAGCAACCCATCTGGGGATATAAAGGACATTTTTACAGACTGGTGTTTGCTGAACGAACAAGTAGATATTGAATTATTATTTTTTATGTCTTTATTGATTTCAGAGAGACGAAGGGAGAGGGAGAGAGAGAGGTAGAAATATCAGTGATGAGAGAGTCATTGATCGGCTGCCTCCTGCACGCCCCCACCAGGGATGGAGCCCGCAACTCGGGCATGTGCCCTGACTGGGAACTGAACAGCGATCTCCTGGATCCTAGGTCAGCGCTCAACCGCTGAGCCACGCCCGGGCCCGGCAGAAATTGAATTCTTAATTACAACTAAACTAGATGCTTCTGGGTTTTCTTGTTTTATGGTTCTTGTCTCTTTTATCTGTGAATTTAAGACCTGACAACTAGGATTCAGCTTTGCTATTGTGTCCTAATAGTTCTTTCCTTAATAAGTCTCAGTGACAGCTATAGAATGTTACCAAAGTAAAATATATCCCTGGAAAAACATCCAAAAATGGATAACTGAGATTTACTCTCCTGAAGACCATGATCCTATTGAAGGAAGGAGGGAAGTACAGCTGCTGTTCAGCAGTTCTTCCCTCCTCCACCATTACAGGTTCTTCATTTGACTGATGTGCCTGGGAGGGACTGGAGGCGGCGGCAGGAATTGTGCATCCTTCAGGACCTCAGCTGGAGCTCCCAGGAATGCCCTTGTAAGTAATATTAAACCCAAAGCAAGTCACCCTAAGCTCCCGCAGCAACACCTTTCATAGGTATTAATGAAAGCAATGTGCTATGTGTACAAATACATGCTTGTGGTGCTTTTCACTATGGCTAGCAGATTGTTTAAAGATTCAGAAAATAGCCCTGGCCAGTGTGGCTCAGTTGGTTGGGTGTCCTGCACATAAGGGTTGCCGGTTCTATTCCTGGTCAGAGCACATGCCTGGGGTTGCCTGCTGGATCCCCGGTGCCGGGGTTATAACGGGAATGCCTGTCATTTAAAACCGGATTTTGCCTAGTTCGCGTGCCAGAAAATGTGCGGCTCCCGGCCCGCGTCCCCTCCGCACCGGCCGGCTCCCCCGGGGCGCCCTGCCCTCGGCTGAGTGCGGTCAGGAGGCGGGG